CGCTAGTAGTAACAAGTGCCTTACTAGTAGTAACAAGAAGCTACTAGTAACAAGTGCCACGCTAGTAGTAACAAGTGCCTTACTAGTAGTAACAAGAAGCTACTAGTAACAAGTGCCACGCTAGTAGTTACTGACAAAACAGGTAGACAAAACTGACAAAACTGGGTAGCTAGGTTGGGGGCCATTGCCATGACAAAACTAGCTTGGTTCCTTTGTTTCTAATAGCTTCTTGCTCCTAGTAGGGATGCCAGGAGCTCCTAGTAGCGTCCTTGCTCCGTTCGTAGCGATGCCCTTTGTTACTAGTAGCGTCCTTGTGACTAGGCTAAACAAAACTCCGCAATCTTTGCACCATCTTCGCCACCAAGCCCAGGCCCCACGACCACAGACATCGAAGAGTACTACAGGACAGAACCAAGCTGCCAATGCACAACCAATGCAGAATATGGATATCTCAATGGATATCTCTACACTCAAATGGATAATAAAGTTATATTTATGTATGTTATTATAGGTGTTTGATCATTGGAGGTGCTCCAAGATTTGTGCCGCAAGAGTCGAACTATTTACAGATTCACGTTGTTTGAGAGCGGAGTTCCCCCGACGCTATTAGGTTGGAGGCCATCGCTATTAGGTTGGAGGCCATCGCTATCAGTAACTCAAAAGAATATTGTTTTTAAATTGATCCCTTTGCTTCCTTGAGAGCCGGATTGTCGAATCCCTGAGGGTCGAGAAGCTCCGAAAGCAGCATGGTCTTCAGCGGCGCCGGGGCAAGGAGCTCCGCAGACGTGAGCGGCGCGAGCAGCTGCAACAGAAACTGCCACTTGGCTAATGCACCTTGCTACTAGGAACAAGGGCATCGCTACTAGTAGCAAGGACGCTACTGGTAGTTCCTGGCCTTACTACTAGAAACTACTAGTAACAGAAACTGCCACTTGGCGCCTGGGTGATCATTCTGTCAACGCTGCTGAGGTCGTTTCTGTATTCCAGCTGTAGGATGCCTTGTGTATCCCACTGCCCAGTGTGTCGGGCACAAGACGCACATTAAGTTAAATCAGAAGTTTTGACGATCATGAGTTTGGTCATGCGCCGATGGGTAAAACGTTGCTCAGTGTCACATTGCAAAACAGTTCGTTTGGCAATATGGGTTTTAGAGTGTTGGGCAGACAGCTGGTGAGATTAGCTAGATACTATTTCAGATATTATGCTGCGAGTACGAGGACACTAGATACCAGGGGGAGGCCATCGCTACTAGTAACAAGGACGCTACGACATTTTTTACGTGAATGATGCAGAGGTGGGGCGGTCCGCGCACCTTCATTCATGGGATTCTCTACGTGAACAACATGTGAACATGCTCGGTTCGCGGATTGTGCCGAAGCATGCGTAAGAACATGAGCAAGAGCAGACACATCGGGATTTCGTTTGTTATATACTGCCCAAGGCAGAAAAACCTTTTCCCACAGTAGGTGCCATATGAGATGCCCACAGTACAACGCAAGGTGGGGCAGGTTTTTTTGAGCAGATCAATTGAGTGTGAAACAGCTTGTTGTCACTATCTATCCTAGCAAGAAGCTACGAACGGGGCTCCTGGCATCGCTACGAACGGGGCATTCTTACCAAAGAATTAGGTGCAGTTCTCGCTCGACCCAGGCAGTTCTTGCTTCAGCATCGAGCGGATCAACAAGGCAGTTCGCTCAGTCGACAAAACTGCCAAGCCATGACTGCTTTACTTTTCAAAAGGCTCTAGCCATTTACCGTCACTATCACAACTGTTTGAACTGAAGAATCCAACTGGAACCCGCCTCCGGAGTCATATGTTTGCATGTCAGTCAGTGTGTTGGGTGTTGCACAAGATTGCCACCAGAGCTTGCAAATCTCCGTGTTTGTTTGTTGCACGGCTTGCGCAATCGACAAAAAGGCATGTCAAATCTATCAGCCCCTGGGCCCCTGATCCAATCGCGACCCCTCGGATTTTACAAAGCGCACCGAAGCCCCCCACGACCACCTCCATGGTTGTGTTGCGTAATTCAAACGGCCATCGCTATTAATTAGGTTGGAGGCCAACGCTCTTAAGTTGTGTGTTTCCCCACTGGCCAGGCCAGCCTCAAAGAGGAGGTGCCAAAACTGATCCGCTGGAAGGGATAAAATCAGGTTGAGATATTCTTAGCGCAATGCCATGAGATACTCTTAGCACGTTGTTATGTTTGTTTTTTGGAATCAGAGGCAGAGGGTGTTACCTGCAGTTTTCAAGCACTCCCAGCTTCAGTGATTAACAGGCAGTTTGCGCAACACTGTGTTCAAATCAGGAGTTTATTCTTCAGACAGGTTCAGGGCTATTCGCCCGGCAAGATGGCTTGCGGCGGCTAGCTGCTAGTGTTTTTACCCTAATTGCTATCCCTATGCACGTTGGAGGCCATGGCTATCCCTAAGATCTTAGGAGTCAGGTTGTCCTCGCATCAACATGGATCCAACTAGGATCCCTAAGATCCGCTAAACCCTAGCAGTATGGCCAGGAGCCCCGAACGTAGCGTGCTCCGCAGAACGAGCGTCCTGACTGAGGCGGTCGTGAAAGACCCGCGCGGTTTGCTTGCATCCGAGAGCTCTTCCTGCAGCGCCTCAAGTCTCGAAAGCGCCGGCGTGCGGATCCGGACCGACGCCCTGTGCGGCTCGAGCACTTCGGTGTCTTGGCAAAAGCGAGTCATTTCGAAGCCAAGAGCTAGTGGAGACTGCTCAGGATTTCAGGTGATGTCAGGCCGGCAACTTATCTTGCGTGTTGGATCCAACATGCAACACAGAGACAGAGAGGGAGAGAGTGCTCCATTATTGCGATTTGGGTACAGCATGGGGCGAGCAATAGATCATTTCAAGGCAATTTCCGCGTCATTGGCTTCTATGGGGCTGCTGAGCGCTTGCAACAGCTGCAGGAGAAGCAGAGAGCCGCTGGGCTGTCTAACCTTTGGGTTTGAGGGATGTTACCGGACTCAAATGAGAGGTGTTTCAATCTTCGTCAAGGGGCTTTGTTTTCACGAGACTCTTGTGCGCTAATTTTTTAGGGTAGAACAAAGTGTATATTTATATTTACGCTGTGTGCTGGTTTTGGCTGGCCTTACTAGGAGCACGAAGCTACTAGTAGCATAGGGCATCGCCTACTAGGAACAAGGACGCTACTAGGGTCTCCTGGCCTTACTACTAGGAGCACGCAGCCGCTCTCGGTTCTCCTATTAGGAGTCCTACATGTCCTACATGTATGCATGTGTTTGTGTGTGTGTCCTTGCTTTTGTTCATTCGCCACTGGGGTCTTGCCGATAGAAACTTGCAGATAGATCTCCATGGAGGTGTAACGAATGCGCCTACATGAACAAAATAAATCACGAATAGATTTGTTCATTCTTACTCTCCGCGTTTCCAAAAGCATTGCAAGTCCAAATGAATGGGGTAAGGATTGAAATGTGTTCAACTGACTGATTGCTTCGACCTACGGATTGCAAACACCCGAGAGGTCCAGCAAAACCCGTCCTCAACACCGCAACCAGGCACGGCAACACTGGTTGGATTGCGCGCCTCGGACGGACGAGGCCGTGAGGCTTTGGCACTTGGACGAAGTATCCCGTGAGGTCGTTTGACTTGCTCCTAGTAACAAGAAGCTACTAGTAACAAGTGCCACGCTAGTAGTAACAA